GTGTGTGTGTGAGAGAGAGAGAGAGAGAGAGAGAGAGAGAGAGAGATTCAGTCTGCTAGAAACTTGTGATACTCCTGCCTGTATCTCCTAAGTGCTGGAATTATAGGCAAGTGCCACCATGCTCAGCCCAAGAGTCTTTATGGACTAGATAATAAGTACAGATAATTTTTATTTAGTAGGGTAACAGATGTTAGGCCAATTGTTGGCTTTGGAATTTTATAGCTCATTTTGCAAAATCCCATGACATAAAAACTCAGTCTGCAAGCTAGCTGTTTATTGAGAGCACTGGTTTTCATCTTGAGACTGACCAAAGCAGATAGAGTAGGATCACAGCAATGAGCCAGGTTGAGGGCGCCGGGAAGAGAAAGCTGTTGCTTCAGAGAAGGCAAGATTCACTTAAGGCTGTTAATGACATTATCCTTTGCTGTGTTTCATGTCAGAACTACCTTCTCCCACCTCTATACAGAAAATGAGTGAGTAGGAAGACAGGAATCGAGGCTGGCATAAGTGGCACAAGTTACATTAAGATACATGCCTTTCTATCTTAAAGATATGCTGTCATTTAAATTCTGATTGTTTAGGTTAAGCACTTAACTCAGTCTTTGGGAGAAAGTTCCTTTCTGGCCTCCTCCCTGAAGACTAGCTCTCATAGTATCAGCAGGTATGATGCAAACTGCCAAGGGAGAAACCATTCAGTGGTCCTACCCAGCTGTAAAGCCTATGACCCACAACAATGACTGACCCAGGAAAAACTCTAGTGGTGCAATAGTGGTTCTTTTATCTCGGTGGTAATGAACAGCTGTCTAATTGAACATAAGGACTGCTCAATAAGACAGAATCCATGCAAAGTAATATAAACATGGCCAAGCAGACATGGCTGGAGAGGTCAAAACCTTAGAGAAGAACCTATTTCTTTCACTTTCCTAGACCAATGTAATTTTGTACTATAGTCTAAATATGTATCCTTATATTCACAGACAAGTGTAAGTCACCACTCATCAAAGAAGCTTCTTTTCGCAACAGATGGCAACTACTTCAAAATTCTGCAACTGGTCAATATGCAGACAGTAAGTGACTGTGAGTTGCCTAACCCCACACGATACATCTATAATACAACCTCCTACACCCAAGGCTCAAGGAACATTGCTTAGGGAAGAGAGAGTGGAAAGATTGTAAGAGCCAGAGGAACAAGATACCTGCTGCTAGATAATGCATTTTAGCCATGGGTACATTCTAGCCATGTACCCACAAAATATCTGCAATATGGTTGCCTAACAACACCTGCATAATGTCAAAACCAATTGATACTGAAGAAGGGAGAATTAGTTTTCTCCAGCGACAAACTCCCTGACAGGCTATTCAGTAGTGGTCAGTCCTAAGCACATGTGTACACAAGCACTACTAAACGGAATCAACACATTATATATATATATATATATATATATAAATGTATTATGTATGTATATGTAACAATAATCAAAGAAGAGGACAAGAAATTGAAAGGGCGTGGGGGGCACATAGAGACATTGCAGGGCGAGCGGGCGCGGGGGATGATGTAAATACAGTATTCGTGGAGGACACTCTCAAAAAACAAAAACGAATTTTCTTTCTGACCTTTTTGTACATTAACATATAATTTCTTTCAAAAGCAACAGAATACCTTGAGCAAGGCGCCAATATCTCCCAAGAGAGGAAGTGCAATCTGTAGTTAAGGAAGGAAAGGAAAAAGGTCCTAATCCATGGATACATGCACATACATGAATATAACACAATACAAACAGAATTTGATCTGCATACTTTTTAAGTTTTGAAAATTTATTATTTATTTATTCTATATGTATGAATATGTTCATGCCTGCAGGTATGTAAGTGCACCAATGCTTTCAGAAGTCAGAAGAAGCCTCAGATCCCCTGGCTAATATAGGCTAATATTGACGGCTATTGGCCGCCATGTGGGTGCTGAGACTTCTCTGCAAAAGCAGCCAGTGCTCTTAACAGCTGAG